CTACAATGGCAGTTAATTTACAATGTTATTGTAGTAATTTTTAAACAACTTGTAGATCTAATAATTACTGTACTGTATTTCTAAACAATGCTTTTACCATTTTTTTCAAAATACACCTTGTGAATAGTTGTTATATAAGTATTTCACTACTTCTAAACTTAGTTGATAATGAAATACTTGTTTCTAATTACTGTACAATTCTATCTTTCTGTCAGAGCGCTAGAATATGATTAATAAAAATCATACATTACTGGTTTGGTTTTAGATGGATTTCATTATTTACCAAAGCATAAATAATGAAAATATGTTCTTGTTATGCTTTCACACTGTTTTACAGGGCTTTACATATGCAGTATTTCCTCTAATACTATTTTCATAATTCATTTCTCTTCATTAAATACTTTAATGCTTTTGATATTTTACACTTCTTTAATTACCCTTCAGTTTAATCAGTACTTAAATACATACATATCCACATTTTTTCCAAGAATTTTTCACTTGGTTCAGTTCATAACTTGGGTATTCAAATAATTTCTAATAAAAGTATAAAAATACTCACTTTTTTATATATTTAATTCAACGTTTACTTGCTAAATGTTTTCTCCTTCTGGATTTAAGCGACTAAAAGCACATTCCAGAGTCACAAACAAATCTAATAATTATCTACATTTAATTTGCACATTTTAAAAACTTATTAGGCATACATGCCTTCTAGGCAGAAGCAAACAATGCTGATGGAATCCATGCAAGTAGGCCTTGAATATCATATTTAAGCTTATTTAAAAAAATGAATTGGAATTAGAACAGTCAAAGAGAAGATTTGTGAATGTGCAGCAAGCCACAAAGTGAATTAATTACTTAGTGAAAAGGGAACGAGGTGATGGTAGTGGTCAACTAGATTTGTTCTGTAGTAATCGCTTCACCTGGATACTCCTTCCTTCTGTCCAGTCGGTGATGGGAAGCAAATAGGAAGGAAGAGAAAAATATTTGCGGGTTAATAATTAAAATGCCAAACACCAATGAAAACTGACTTGCTGCTGTTGGGAAAAATCTATAAAGCACCCATAAAACCTGAAAGATTGCACTATAGTGATTAATTTGTTGGAAAAGACAAAATACTACATAAGAACCTAGCAGAACACAAGAAATCTAAGTAGAACACGGGAAGCCAATGTCAGACACAATTATATTGACAGAAAATAATCAACTGAAAATTAAAAGAAAAAAATTGAGATTTTCTCTTCTTCTATATACAGTACTGTATAGTTCACATGTAATTGCCTAAGTGTAGATATACGATGAGAGCTATACTAATGATATCCCATCTTTCCTAAAATCTGTTGTCATATGAAGTTTTGAAGCTTATGATGCTTTTGATATTGAGTACCCACCTATTTAGTTTATGTCATATGCCTAAAACTCTGTTAATGTATGAAAATTGGCATCAATTTGTCTACTCCTTTGTTTTCTAAACTTGGCTCTAGACTTCTTGTTTTCAAATTTGCAGGTTTCAAAAATTCCTATTTATCAACTTTGTAGATTTTTGTCATGATTTTGTTTGTAATATATACATCAAACTATGAGTAGCAGTGTCTAACAGTCTGGTTGACCAGACTGTCAACTAGGAGGCCTGGTCAGGGACTGGGTCGTGAGAATGTTGATCCTCAAAACTCTGTCTCATCTGCACATAGTTAACTTCATTCTGCTCTACACCAAATTTTCAATAATGCAACCCTTGTTCAGCTTAAAAGCCAGCTGTATATACAAACAAATCATAAGAGGTACATATGATTTGAATAGATGCAGCTCACTATAAAGATTACAGGAAGTAATTTTGTATAATGTGTTAAACTGGCAAAAAAAAAAAAAACTCCAGGAAGATCTAGTGTTAAAAACTGCTGTAAGTTATAAGTATAATATTTATGATAAAATATATAAAAAAAATGGGTTACCACAAGCATAACATTCATGTAACTGCATGAAAAAATTGTGATTTGAAGCAATATACAGTACATGAGAATTTGGGAAAACACATGGCTGTTAGGAGGACAGATAGATCAAGGAATAAAAAATGTCATGGAATGATGTGGAATGCAAAAGTCACTACATTTTAAGACTGAAAAGTGTACCAGGAAATTTTGGACAGTCTGCAGTCTTCTGCAGACTGTCGTACAAACAGATATAGTCTGTAGAAGAGATTGCATCTGAATGAATCTTAAGAAGGAAGGAAGGTCAAGAAGACAATGGGCAGGCATGGTGAGTGATGGTGTGAGGACTGAGTGAAGAGTTCACAAGAGGATGTGATAAGGGCTAGATCATGGTAGTTTATAAAGATATGAATATTTGACATGTATATACAGTATATGAGAATCTAAAAGAGAGATTATATATTTATTCTACGAAGCAGTGGGGATTTGATAGGGGTGATTTTCCCGAGATGTGATTCTCAGATTCCGAGATTCCGAGAGCCGATTCTCAGCGATGAAGTTGTGTATGCATTTAACAGCCATCTTGTAGAATGGAGTTCCATCCAATTTTTTTCCCAGCCACCTTTCATTTTGAATCTCTCAACAACCATGTGTATGGCCTTTCCTTGATTTCTGCCTGATTTTGTTTGTTCTTTTTTTCACAGACTTCTTTTGCCTAACCAAACCCCAAGCTTTTCTTTAAGTTTTTTTCAAAAAAGGTTCTAAGGAAGTATGATTACATAGTAACCTCTTCTTCAAGATGAGAATTAATATAAAACATAAAGCTCAAGATAATCACTACTATCAAACTCAGACCTTCTTCAGCACGACTAATATCAAAAGCAGACCTCTTTTTATAAGACATATAAAACCCAGACCTCTTTTTATAAAAGACTAATAACAAATCCTAACTGCTTATAAAAGCTAATATCAAATCCAGACCTTTTATTACAAAAACTAACATCGAACCAAGACCTCTTCTTCAAGATGACCAACTTCAAATCCAGACTTCATCTTTATGAAGATTATCAAATAAAAATGACATAACTTAAAACTTATCAAGTCATCTTACATAAGATACATCATAAAATCAACTTACATAAAAGACAACATTAAGACATCTTATATAAGAGACAACATAAAGACATCTTACATAAAAGGCAACATAATTAACTTCTTTTCTGAGAAAGCACTAAGCCCGTATAACAACCCACTGAAGGCCCTGTAAAAGCTGCAGCCTTCTCATGGCCACTATATATGGTAGCTGACAGGAACGTCAGATTAAAAGAAAAGCAACCCATCAAACATGGCATAATAGAGAGATCTTACAGAGTTTAAGATACTAATCAATATAAATAGCATCTTAACCCCATCCACTTCTCCGAGATGTCTATAGATTGAAGGTTGACAAGTCACATATACAGTAAAGGACATATAGAGCGGTCTACTGAAAGTTTCTTATCTATGATATATAGGTACAGTATTTCATAAATTAAGCATCATCATGTGTTATATTCTATTAATCTCCTAGGAAGGTAGAAGCCAGCCAATGAGACCTTCCTCTGTACCTTTCATCTTCAATACTGTTGTACTGTACCACATTTTTTTTATTTATTTATATATACAAGAGTTCTTACATTCTTGTAAGACCACTAGCACACACAGCATTTTGGGCAGGTTTTTAATCTTATTTTCCCAGGAATAACACACCAAGTCATTTATTAACCATGTACCCATTCACTGCTGCGAGAACTGAAGCGTACAGTTAAGAATTGGCACCTAGTAAATCCTCACCGGCCAGTATATGAAACCAAGCCAAATCACGAGTCTTACCAATGCGACATGGGAACTGCCGATTACTACTTAGAAAAAGTGTAGGTTTGAAAATATTCAAGTCTTTAACAAGACAAGACAAAGTGGATTAGATCCACCATTAATTACTGAAACAATAGCCCTAGCAATACAATAAAGAGTAAATGGAATATATTTACAAGCCCCTCACCTTCTTCTCCCCTCCAAACAACAAATATCATTGGTAAAAACCATTATATCAAGTAAAAAATGATAAATACAAAAGGGTTAGTTACAAAACAGATACAAACTTAAATAAAATGTCAACAAAACTTAGATACAGTACATAGAATGGAAGCAAAATATAGGAGAGTAAAATAGTACCTATATATATACACGTTCACACCAGAAGGTCTATCCTTTTCCATTAATAATTTTTTTTAAACAAATACCACTTGCCAATTTATAATACAGGATAACGTAATTCTTTTACAACCTTCACAGGCTATGTAATGCATAAGACACAACTGAGCCCAGTCTAAACGAGTGCATGAAGGAAGGAAGAGGTTAAGATCTATGAGCTGGCAAGACATCCCTGGCCAAAACCATACCAGACAGCTATGTGTTAAGCAGACCAACAAGCAGGTGTGAAACCCTGATGCAGGCAACCATGAAAATGTGAAAGACAATATCTGAGCACCTGAAAGTAGATCTTACTCTAGCTGTGAGGCTGTGGGAAGAACTCCAATTAGCACTGGTCTCGCCCTAGGTACAGGAGTTGCACCGTGTCAGACCTCACATCATCCTGATGCCTAAAAAAACATTGTACAGGCTTTACCCTTACCATAAGACATCTGTAAGTACTGTAATGTAAATACAAGGTGCATGGAGCATCCTACTCGCTAACTTGTCTTCTTTTGTACACTGTGGATTTAGGTGTGTTATATAATAATAAGCACTAACCAGTTTGTTAATTACTTTCTGTCCAATATACTGAATATAGTGTTTGAAAATACTTTGTAAAACAAATAATAAAATGTAAAAGTTTGATTAATGTTTTAATTCAAGATCTGCTGATAACAAATATATGTTAGGATATTTTCTAAAAGGCTTTCCCAGTGTTAACTTTATAAGAATACTTGTAATAGATTAGTAGCAGTCTCTTCTCATGCAAATTAATGTTAGTTGACTACTTAAATAAAATAAAGCTAACTATAAAATACAAAAATTAAGAAGTCTTACTTTTTCAATGGCACAGGGCTGGACCCGTGACCACCGTTTCTCGGCTCAGTAACCCGGCAGGCCACTGCATTGTAGGCTGTATCATAGAAAATATGTGATTGTAGTTCTGATGTATCCACGTGCAGCAGGAAAAAGAAAAGTTTACTTGATTAACCATTAAAAATTACAGTTACCTTACTGAGAAGTCACGAAGGTCTAGTAACATTCAGCAGTAAATTAATTATAATTTTTAATGTGCTAAATAACAAGCAAACTAAATTAGCAAAATACGTAAGTAAAAAATTTTATACTCTTAAAAAATAATGAAAATAATAACAAATGGCTTTTAAATATTAACAATAATATAAGACCATGTGTGAATACATAATACTTAATTTTTATGCAAGATATTTTTGTTGAAAAGAAATTGACTTTCAGTACTGTAGTTAATATTATATGAGATGATTATACTTTAACCCTCCTGCTGCTCGGGGTTTTATCTTGAGAGTGCCTGGATGATCCGAGGCACAATAACACCTTTGCTTTTGTCCATACAGCATTGTAATGTTTAGAATAGTCAAAACAATTTCTACTGTGTGTCATTTTTAGCTTTATTGCCCAAGGAATACTGTACTACTGTATATTATGAGAAAATGTATGATTTTTTTAATCACAGAAAAGAAAAACAATTCATTCGAGTTTTTAGGCTAATAATGACTAGAAGGCCAATCATTTTTAATTAAATCAGACTAATTAGTTATATATTTATGGAAATTGTCCTAAGAGTTTTGAACCAAAGAATTTATTGCGACTCCTAAGTTGAATTGACGAATTCGGAGCAGCCCACATGGTATTAACCCATGCTTGTGCTTAGGATGCAAATGTTAATAGTTGCTTATATCATGTGTTTATATTAGTTTATGTAACTAAAGGAATAAACGAGATAAAAATGCTGTAAATACTGAGAAATAAATATCAGAAATTAAATCTCAAAAACAGTAACATCATATCACTCACCACATACTAGGGCGGATCATTCAAACATGCCTGCGCAAGCTAAATAGAACTCTTGTACTCACCTATGTACAATATTTACAAGGAAGAAATTGATGAATAAGATTGAATCATCATGTAGAGGATGTGTCCTCTTCTTTAGGTGCCCATTTGGCCTCCAGATATACTCCAACTGGGGTGAACAATCTTCATGAATACGTACTACAGTTGCAGCCTGGGTACCAGTGTCATGAACACCTGGGGCACAGTATCTTTGCAATGTACCTGGGATCTTTACGTACTCAAGAGCACTAGTCACTCATGTTGCCACAAAACTTCAATATATTACCCTGTGCATTAAGCTATTGCAATTGCAATGCAAAATGAAGACCACTAATAAATGTGGATCTGTGACATCTAAATAATCCTATGAAATACTATCTTTTGCTTCCTTAAAACAACCCACAGATTAAAAAATAAAATAGCCAAAGAGAATGCAGAATGACCCAGGAGACCAATCACAATGATGTATCATTGATCATTGTGGAAAGTCAGTTGAAAAATTAAGATACGCACTCCTTATAGGGGCAATAAAAAAGCGAAAAACTTACAATGAATGACAACACTTGTTGTCAAGTATATGTAGACTCCACCCACATCAAAATTATGACCAATCACAGCCATACCTCGGGATGGGTCCATATGGAGACAAAGTTGCTATCACACAGCAGACATATCATGGTGGTTCCAGATTGCTATGAGATAGTTAGCAGCAGCAGGAGGGTTAATAAAGTGATTACTTCACAATCAATAAAGTGATGGTTAATAAACCAGTTACTTTGATGTGAATCTATAGGGCAAAACCCCTTAAAAGGGTTAAATTAATACATTTAAGAACAAAATACAGCAGGATTCCAATTTTATGTGATTATTTTAAGGAAAACAAGCCTAACAAGGATACAACTGAGATCATTTCAATTATCTTGCACGGTGCCTTATCTGTCATAAGTTTATTTAGTGGTGTGAGATATTCGATTCAAGGAGACAAAATTAACTCTATTCATGTATTATGGTAATTTCTATGGGAATTGTATAACTGTACATTATTTTTAGAAGCTCCAAAATGTTACATAAATAATATATTTGTACAATATTGTTAATGATGTCAACTGTTCAAGACTGTCCTTACCTACCATCCTAATTACCACCCACCCAAACCCTCTCTGTCTCTGTCTCTCTCTATCTCTCTATCCATATTTTTTTTTTTTTTGAGATATATACAAGAGTTGTTACATTCTTGTACAGCCACTAGTACGCGTAGCGTTTCGGGCAAGTCCTTAATCCTATGGTCCCTGGAATACGATCCCCTGCCGCGAAGAATCGTTTTTTCATCCAAGTACACATTTTACTGTTGCGTTAAACAGAGGCTACAGTTAAGGAATTGCGCCCAGTAAATCCTCCCGGCCAGGATACGAACCCATGACATAGCGCTCGCGGAACGCCAGGCGAGTGTCTTACCACTACACCACGGAGACTGCTAAATATTAACCGAAGGTCAGCCAGATAGCCATTCAGCATGTTCACTTACTTGTACATTTTCCAACCTCTACCTTCCCCTCTGTATATCTATCATTCTTTCTCTCTCTCCCTCTCTTGGCAACCCAGACTGGGTTATTATTATTATTTTTAATTTTCTTTATTTTTTATTTATTTATATATATAAGAGTTCTTACATTCTTGTACAGCCACTAGCATGCGTAGCATTTTGGGCAAGTCCTTAATCCTATGTTCCCCGGAATACGACCCTGCCAAATCGTTTGACAACCAGGTACCCATTTTACTGTTGGGTAAACAGAGGCTACAGCTAAGGATTGACATCCAGTAAATTCTCCTTGGCCAGGATATGAACCCAAGCCAAAGTGCTCGCAAAATGCCAGGCGAGTGTCTTACCACTACACCACGGGGATATGTGTATTCATATCAGATTAATCTTTGTTGGTGTTGAGTCTGAAATGGCTCCTATTTTTGTCCATATGATTCCTTCCATTACTTTTATTTAGTTTGATCTCATGTTTAATCTGCAGAACATATCTTCACCTAAAATGGGAATCATTCTGTATAAAGCCCATATATGACTTGTTCATTGATGCTGTAATATGAGCTCTTTACTGTATTAATAAATATATCTTAATTATATATTATAATTGGCATTTTGAATACTTCTCAAGTTACAACATACTTCTTGAGAACATACCCAACGAGAACACCATCACCTTGGACGTGAACAGATATCTGAGAAAAAGAGTGCTGCTAATAAGTGACAACTACTGTATCTGGCATCACAAAGTGAGTCGGTGACACTAGCAAGACTGTGAGCTACGACCATAGCATATAGCAACAATAAATGATATTGACATATATTTGATGTACCTTTCTCTTGCTTCCTCCTCTTGTGTTTGTTGCAGATCTTGACAGTACAAACCGACAAAATGATGGCAACTATGAAAAACAGTATTCCACCTACTAGTGCTGCAGTTATTGCCTGAAAGCAGACAATATTAATACAATTAGAAAGGATACAAGATGCTCAAACATAATATATAATGAGAACATACATACATACATACATAAATCAACACATGAGTAAATAATGGTATACCCATGGTATAATGAAACTGAAAGTTGGATTTGGCCCCCAAAAGTCAGGAGTTGAATGTAGCATGATGCCCTTTTCTGGTGGGGCCTTCAGTAGCTTCTCCATCCAAGCACAAAGCCATGGGTGGGGCAGCCCCCAAAAGTGCCGCTTAGTCCATTGCGCAAACCTACAGTCTATTAGCTGAGGGTGCACTTATGATGCTCAAGTGATTGTTCGTATCTGTATATCAGTACTGTAGCTGAATATGCCTTCCCTTGCCGAGTGTTTAATGTTGTGGGTTGATTTTTCTTTGGCTAAGACATTCCCTTGTGCTTGGTTTACTTACTTGTCTGAAGGATGGTCTAGATGGTCAGTCACCCTTGCTCCTGGGTTTATGTCAAGTTTACATGTTTGAGTGGACTCTTATTGCTGCCTCAGCCATAGAGGCAGTTCCATGGAATAAAAATTATATTAAATCATAAAAAGCATATCCAACACCATGACCTGGCCTGCCATTTTGTAGCACACAGACTGGGGTGTTTACACCATGGAACCCATTATTTGCCTTGTTTTCCTCAAGGTTAGTAATTTCCTTTTCAGCAGTTCCTTATTTTGCTGTGCTGATACGTTCTGTTTTTTTTTTTTTTTTAGTGCTGGGTTGATCTTTGATTCCACACTTTCCTTGTCCCTTGTCTCATACAAAGGGACAAATTGTGGTCCCGGCTGCTGCTCAGCTCGGAAGCTAAGTAGCCCTTCCCAGAAAATTTAGAAAGAATTCAGTCATATATTAAGTAAGAATGAATTTAAATATTATTTCATGGTGGATACTACTAGTATTTTAACTATGAAAATGGGAGAGGAACCACAAATAAACATGAAAACTATATAGGAATAATAATGGTACAAAATGTATAGCAATTTATCCTATTATAATTTTCATTCATCTTTAAAACTAGACAATTTTCTTGTAAGGTGTCTTCATTACCTCCATAATCATCACTGTCAGTTTCTGTCTGTGTTTATCACTGTATCTGGTACTGTGTGCTTGTGAATCTGTCCATTTCTTAATTATGTATGTATATCTGCTTCCTCAGTTATTATTTTAATACAAGCAGTTCATTTCTTGTTGTATATTTTATTGTAAACAGTAATCTGGTTATGTGTAAACTGAGAAGTGTTGCACTGAAACCAATTATTATCAACAAGGGACTTTTTTTCTCAATGCTTGTCAAAAAATGAAGTGTATCAGCTACTGCACATTCCCTTCAAACACATACATTTGAATTCGTAAACACATTCATATTCGTACAATATAGAGTATATTACTATATATATTTAGTGACACCCCTGTTCAAATCTATCAGTTAATCTCTCATTTTCTCTTCAATTCTTCCTCTCATACATGCTGTACAGTACTGAAACAAAAATCCACAGTCGAATGTAATGAAATGCAATTTTTTGGGTGAACCCCAGAGGCTCCCTGGAGCTATCGGACTAATATGCGAATCATTAGACCAGGGCATTAGTCTATGGAGTTCAGCCTACCGGGGACCACGAGCCAGAACCTGGCTTCCTCAGAGAGGCACAGGGAGCAATGGCAAACCCTCCTGTGGTTTGGGGTTTTCCTTATCTGCCATTGACCGGGGTTAGGCACACAGTAAGGTAGGTTAGGTTAGGTAGGTACAGGAGGCTGATATGCCAGCAAACACTCTCCAAGCAACAATGTGTCTTGGATAAGTCGCTTCACAACATTGTCGCTTGGACTGTCGACTTGCTTTGGCTCACCAGCAGCTTATTTTCATCTAATTTCGTTATGACATGATACTTTTTCAGAGTAAAAATGTTTTTCCATGTTCTACATTCAGCGCCAACATTATAATGAATAAATATTATATATCATATTTATTCATTACTAAGGTAATGTTAGGAAGCTTTGGGTAGCTTGTTAGGAAGCTTTGAGTAGCTTTGGGTAATTAGATGGACCCCCCCCCCAGAACTGCTAGTGGGCTCTCCCAACAGCTCCGGGAACCCGCACAGAGGACTTGGGGCAGAGCCATCCTCCACACCCCTACTCTTATAAATAAATAATAAATAAATAAATATGTTTATTCAGGTAAGGTACATACATACAAGTGATGTTACATTAATGGATTGATATAGATCGTTTCTGCCCGAAATGCTACGCGTACTAGTGGCTGTACAAGAATGTAACAACTCTTGTATATATCTCAAAAAAAAAAAAAAAAAAAAAAAAAAAAAAAAAAATATATATATATATATATATAGATAGAGCTAGTACATACAATGCCTAAAGCCACTATTACGCAATGCGTTTCGGGCAAGAAAAACATTAATATCTAGAACTTAATACTAATTGAGAATAAAGAATAAAAAGTGTTGAGAACAAATACAAATAAAGATAAAAAAAAAAAAGGGGGAACATGACTGAAAAAGCAGCACAAATACAATAGGTTGACAAACAGTGTTGATTAAAAAAAATAACAGACATGGGTTGACAATAGAGGAGTGAGGTAGGTTACAGGAAATTTATTAGGTAGTGTTTAGTTTTTATCTTAAACTGGTTGAGAGAGGTACAGTCTTTAACATGGTTGGGAAGGTCATTCCACATTCTGGCTCCCTTGATTTGTAGAGCATTTCTAGTTTGATTAAGTCGTACTCTAGGAATATCAAAACTGTATTTATTTCTGGTGTGGTGCTCATGGGTTCTGTTACAACCTTCAATGAAACTTTTGAGGTCAGGATTGGCATTACAGTTCAGCGTTTTATATATGTATAATACACAAGAGAGAATGTGCAGTGACTTAATATCTAACATATTCAGAGATTTGAGTACTCTGCCCCTCTGCCCACACAACACTCTGCCCTTTCTTGAAGAAAGGGCAGAGTCCAAGGGAAAGGCAGCAAAGAAGGGGGTCTGCTGGTAGGATCCTAAGTCCGGGCAATGTGTTGCTAACCAGTTAAGACCCAAAGCTAACAAGAGGGAGATCAAAACACTGAAACCCCTGTGACATGTACAAGCACGAGGCGACCTAGCGGAGGGCCACCAAAATATTAGAAGTGGAACGATAGCCACACTAGGCAGGGAAAACCAAAACAAAAGAAAAACCTTGCACAAGTGCAACGTCCACAGAGGAAACAGGAACCGGCTGCTGCGTAGGTAGGCAGGCTACACAACACCTTGATGCCCCAACTATCACGATACCATTCCCTACCCAAAGCCAAACAAGAGCCATTAAACCCCAGCTAGCTCCAAGATTGGGTAACTGCCGAGCAGCAAAAACCCCTACAGAAATGGGTTGCTGAACACACCAGAGAAGAGAACCCTAACACGCACAGGTAGAACTCACAAGGCACTTAACGAAGGATGCCCCTAAGCGCATGCAGCCCTGGTACACTAAAGAACACCTGGCACAACACGACACTGTAGAGGACATCATGAAGGCAAACCACTGCTTGGAAAGTGAGGACAGACAAGATGTCCGCCCCAGTTTGCATTAGCTGACAAACTAGAGTGCTAGGTAGCCAGCATGGGGGAGGTCTGGGGCTTTCCCTGCCCCCTCTTGGGGAGAGGAGGGCTGCGCGGACAAATGGCACCACTACGAAGTGTGAAATTTGCTTGTTTACTTGTTTCCTTGGGCTTGAAGGGAGTTCTGCCTCTCTGTTCGGTTTCGGTGGCAATTTTCTTACCATGTGGGGTCTGTTTTGTTATGCTTACCTTACTGGGTACCTAACCCCCAGTCAATGGCAGATAAGGAAAACCCCAACCACAGGGGGGTTTTCTAGGGCCATTGCTCCCTGAGCCTCTCTGAGGGGGGCCAGGTTCTAGCTCATGATCCCTGGTAGGCTGAACTCCATAAACTAATGCCCTGGTCTAACAATTCGCATATTAGCCCAATAGCTCCAGGGAGCTGAAGGGGCTCCCCACAGAAATGCACTTACCTTTTCCTTGTTATGCACTGGAGCAATAAACATAACCTCCTCTGATGGAGCATAACTGGTGAGTGTCTTGGAAAATACACGGAAGTGGTATTTCTTTCCTGACTGAAGCTTCCTGACTGCAGAGCCATTAATGGGAGAAAGAAAGAAAGAAAGGTGAAGAAGGGTTGACATCAACAAATTATCTTTAGGTGCATACAAATAGTAGTCACATACAATTCTGCAAACCACAAATAGATCTCTCAATACATTTATATATATACTGAAGTTAGGTCTAATATATACTGTGCAGAATATATAGTATGTACATGGTGTATGTTTTACTTAATAGCCAGTTGTCTAATAAACCAAATTTGCTTTTAAATATATTTTTTAAAAGATTTTTACCTTGTGGATTGATACTTCCTAACAAAGGTAAACTATGTCTATCTAAGTTATCAATTTATATTGTCGGTATACATGAAATGTTGAATATAATGAAACGCTTTTTCTGGTCAGGTTAAAAGCATGGTCGGGTCATACAGTTTTTAAGTGATTTTTTACACACACAAACACACACACACACAAACAGCAACAAAATCATTAGAGGAAGGGGAGGTAAAGGACAAAGGGAAAATGAACATGTTCCTGAAAACTGTATATACCAACATAGATGTAGTGAGATAAAAAATACTGGAGTTAAAATATATAATTCAGCTTAAGATCCCAGAGGACCTTAAGTTACATTAAATTACATTACTTAATGTAAGTCCTGGCATGTATAAATTAGATCCCCATATAAGCTTGAATATAGCACGTCAATACAACATAAGCATCCATTAAACCTGTGTATATTTATTTATTTATTATTTCCATCTGGTGGCACTTATATATTTTATCCATTATTTTTGTTTGGTACAGTTATCCTTATTTGCCTCGTTCCTTCATCTTTTTCGTTCTCTTTTATCTGTAGGTTTCATCATCTATCTAGGTGGTCAGGTGACCTGCCCTGGCAGGTATAAGGTCTGCCTACCACATTTTCTTCTTCATTCTATTTTGCTCTGATAAAGGCGAATTGAGCCGAAAATGTATTTAGCATTCTCTATTTTTCACATGTGGTTTTTCCGCATACTTGGTATACGAATGCTCCACTTTACAAACTTTTCAGGTTAGGAGCCCAATTTCTTCAGAAAATTTGAATCGGGTTATGAACTTTACCTCGGGATACGAGTTTGTTGATACACATATGGCCGACCTAGCATGTGGTGGCACGGCGGTCGCGTCTCAGTTTACCAGTGCCTCCTGCCAAGTGACTATCCCACCTGAATTCTTTGCAAGCATTGACAGTTTTTTTCAGATTTTTGGTTATTTGAACATAAAAGTTGTCATTATATATCTCGCCATGGTCCCAAGAAAGCCAGTGGTATGGTTCATGGCAAGAAAACACAAGTGAGAAAGACCATAGAGGAAAACAAGAGATCATTCATAAATATGATCTATTTTGATCATGTGCACTCTCCCGAAACGCTACGAGTACCACCCAAAATGCTATGAGTACCACCCAAAACGCTGCTCGTACTAGTGGCTGTACAAGAATGTAAGAACTCTTGTATATATAAATAAAAAAAAACATGAAAATGGTACACGTGTTGTTGAACTAGCTAGGCAGTACAACAAATCTTCAGGGAAGGAGGAGGAGGCAGTAGAGGATGTCCCTTCCTCATTAATTAAGAAACTGTATGCAGTATGGGAAGAACTGTAAAGTTTTGCTGAAAAGAATCACCCAGGTAAAGCTGTAGCAGGCCATTGCATTGATCTTATTAATGACAATGTGATGTCTCACTACAGACAAGTGTTGCAAAGAAGGGAAAAATCATCTTCAATGGAATTATTTCTAGCGAGAAAATCAAGCAGTGAACCAGAAGCAGGTTCTAGTGGTATGCAGGCAAAACATGCCAGAGAGTGCACCCCAGATAAGTCCTCACTGCCTGATATTATAATGGATGGGGGCACCCCTTCCAAACAGTAACACCTCTTCTCCTCCCCCTCCTCACCGTCTTCCATATGCCAACAGGAGACATCAGAAAGGGTAAGTAATAACTTGTAAATACTTTTGTAGTGAAGATTTGGGTGAATTAGGTATAAAATTTACTTTAAAGTTAATTTTTTGGGGGAGTCAGGAATAGATTAATTCATTTATATTATTTCTTATGGGGAAAATCGCTTTGCTTTACAAATTTTCGGGTTTTATAACTATCAATCTTATGATTGACAGTTATATTTACATTGATGACCAGCCCTCACATCAGAAGACAAAAAGACGATGACATTTCGGTCTGTCCTGGACCATTATCAAGTCGATCGTTGCTAATGGTCCAGGACGGACCGAAACGTTGTCGTCTCCTCATCTTCTAGTGTGTGGTTTGGTCATCATATTTTCAGCCCCGTTATTGTGACACTATTGTGTCTGCATATTTTCACATTAATAAATGAAATGTAATATTTTATATTAGAACCAAAACTAACTTAGTCATCTGACCTAACCTAAATATGCTTGTTATTTTTTAATACACCACAACATACATAAAGCTATGTCTAAGTTAGTAATTCATGTAATCAAAATGATACAATATGTTGATATTATTGGGGTAACATATTTTTAAGAATAATTGAAAATATACAAAATTGCTCTAGCTGTTAGAGAAGACAGTTCTTACTTACTAAGCCTAGTAGGCCTGGCTATTAGGCATAACATCATGAGATTTAGCTTTGTCATGACAATCATTTCTATAACTATTCTGCAACTCACCTCTATAGGAAGTTTCTCCTAAAATATTATCATCATTGAGCTTCTTCCATGATCCATCTGTTCGATATTCGATGTCATAGTAGGCGACAGGAATGTTCATATCAAGAGGTGGCAGCCAGGAGATAACGTATCCATCCACCGCATCCGATACCTTCTTAATCGACACATTCCGTGGGGGTGAAGGCGGAGGGCCTAGCGGAAGCGATCCTTTGTCAATGGGATACAGCGGGCAGCGGGAGTACAGCAGTTGAACGACGGCAGTGGTGGTGGTGGCAGTGGTGGTGATTGTGGTAGTGGCAGTGGTGGTGATTGTGGTAGTGGCAGTAGTGGTGGTGATTGTTGTCGTGGCAGTGATAGTGATGGTGGTATTAGAGGATATGGTTAGAGCAGTGTTTGTAGTGTTGTAAATGATAATGATAGAAAATATGGTTGTAATAGAAGAGCAGTGTCAATGTTGGCAAAAAGTAGTGATAGTGAGTGTTGTTGTAGGAACCAGAGATGGTATAAAGATTATAATTATTAATAAAAGATGTTAGAGTTGTTGACAGAAAGTGTTGTGAATTGCACAAGTAATTACAGTATTAGTATGACAAGTTTTGATTGTATCATAAATAGTAATAGTATGAGAAGAAAAATATATAGCAAGTGTGTGTTATGGCATTAAGTAAAGTTACAGTGTCAGCAGTGACAATATTACATGGTAATAAAGTTTGGTTTTCATTGAAATTGTGAAAATAATTTTGAAATAAAAAAATTAGAGGAAAAATAATGTTTTTATTATGTTAGTGTATTTGATAGTTATAAAAAAAATCATTCACATAAGTTACAGAATAGCAGTACAGTAGTATGTTGTTGTAAACAAGTTGTCAGAAACAAAATTTGAACAAAAAATTATCAAATGTAGTATTAACAATAATGGAGAGAAGTATCAGATGTCGTGGTGACAGTGTTGTTTTATTATTAATGGTCATAGATGTGAATTTTTTTTCATAAGATGAGAACATTCAGTAGTCAATTGTCAGGTGGTGGCAGATGGTTGATTTATTAGTGACAGTGATGGTTGTATTGGTGGTTTTGGTTGTGGTGGTAGTAGTGGTGGTGGTAGATCGAGCCATCCAGCAGCCAACGGGGTGGACAAGAAGCCAGCCAGCCGACCAACCAAACGAGGGCGGCGGATGGCAGGCATCAGCGGCAGGTAAAAAGAGATCAAGACGAAAAACGTGACAGAAACGAGAACAGCTCCAGTCCAGAGGGAGGTAGTTATAGTGGTTGTAGTTAGTAAGGTCAAGGTGGGTTGCCGCAACAACTCTCCTAAGGACTCTTATAGGCTCAATCTTTAAATACTGTATAGCATTATGTATTATCATCTACTTCTTGGCTTCCAGATTTAAGTGAAAACAAATCAATGTGATGGTATAATGGCAATAATTGGAAACTTTTTATTTATAAGGGAAAAGGCTATCAATATTTAAATATTATTTATTTTTCTTTTATTTACTGGAGATGGGATACTGAAGAAAATAAGCAAATATTTAAACTATGATTAAGGATATTATTCTAGACTCCTTACTACCTGTCATTCAAATAATGCTCAAGTGTACAAACTTTAAATCTTAAAATTAAAAACAGTATTAATCAAAATATGTAACATGTATCAACTTTTTTCAGGGAAGACATTTGGATTGCGAAAAAGATTTTGTGAAAAATCTACGTTTAAACAACAAGCCAATTGCATGCCATCCATGCACCTGAACAAAATGGCGTCCATAGAAGATGGTAGGCAGAGCGAGACATCACAGATATAGGAATGGGAAGAGATGTCATTAAAGGGAATAATCACTGCTGCTAAGTCTTTGATGCGAGAAGCATAAGGAGACAAGGGCAGTAGGAAAGGTTCAGAGCTGCAGAGACAGTAATGAAGAAGCAGCAATCACACTGCAAGATTATAAAGGATATGGTTAATCATTGCTGCAGGCAGGGCTACGGAAGAAATCAGTAGAAAAGCCTAGCTAGTGAGGCTAATACTCTGGCAAAAAAAATTAAGGAATGCAGTTGGGGAGTAGCACATGAGCCTATAAGAATAATATGCACAGGGATGGGGTATGTGGATAGTGCACGAGTCTTCTTTACAGTATAATAGGCAGAGATGAAGAATCAACACAGAAAAGCATAACACAAGGCAAATTAGGTAATATACAATTGGTATTAGGAGGAGGACAAAGTAATAAGATTATTAAGAATAAAGAAAGTGCACTGGTTCCGTAGAGAACATGAAAAACCAGCATTGAATGTAATGAAATGCATCTTACTGGTAGAGTCCCGGTGGCTCCCTGAAGCTATCTTGCCGAGATTCATCCATGCTAAAAGGTCACATCTGTCACAGAAGTTCTGTTTGGTCAACTGGGGATCAGAACCAGAACTTGGCCCCCTCACGCAAGAACAGGGAATGATTGACAGTTCACCACCTTACCAGAAAAGTACCCAGAAAGTTGAGCGAAGCTTTACAGACAACTGGAGGGTACACAGAAAATGAAGCCTTAAAAACTGCCAAACAACTCTACAAACGATGCATATAGAACAAGGGATTCACTCACGGTAGTTTGAAACTCATTAGTACCTATCACCAACATCAGGTGGCCTGGCCCTTGCCTAAAGCCGGCTTCCATGGTCAGTTCTAGAGCTGATGAACAACACATCAGCAAACTGACGAACCTGGAAGTTTGGGAGGAAATCACAAACCTACTGGGGTTCTACCAGAAATGCTTCATTACATTCAATGCTGGGTTTCTGCAACAAAAGGTTCAGATCGGTGAATGGGAAAAGGTTTGTGAAGGCACATACCCCGAAATCCAAGCAGAACAAGAAGGCTCAACTGCCTCTGCCATCAAAGAGGATGGGATGACCCCCGGAAAAGGCAAAGCTACACACCGAGCTAAACCCTGACCTGACTCCGAAATCCTGTACATTTCAGGAATGGGACCAGGATGAGTGAGACCAGAAGCAGAGTGAATCACACCCACAGGGAAAGGGAGGTGTGAAGTTTGTGCAGGTGAAGGTCACCAACACCAATTTTAGGTCCTTAAACAAACGAGGGCCAACTCATTCAGACGATCAATATGCTGCAAATACCTAACATGAACAAACTAGCTCTCAAAGTGGCAGCTGCCTAAAAAGTTTCCAAACTTGAAGCTAAATCAGTAAGGGCAGAGACACAGTGAGAACATGCCTCACAGGACTCATTGTCGTAGATGTCACCAACCCAGCAGGCAGTATGGTGCAAGAAAGGAACCCCCCTTTTAATGTACAGTATTTTAATAATGAAAGCTACAAAGAGTGCATTTGAAATTCCTGCCAAGGCAGCAACTAGCCTGTGCATGAGCAGTGGGCATATTCACCATGAGTGAACTGTTCCCTCTAAATAAATGTAAACAATTGCTTTAGTTTTTACAGAAACGTTTCCAAATACATTTGTGATTGGAAAACTTAATAATTAAAATATTGGTGTTAAATGTATAAATTCAGTCTGACCTTCAACAGTGTAGCATAAATATAATTTGAACCTCAAAAATATTGGAACATGTTAGTGGCAAAGACAAATGCAAGGTGCAACTCAGTCATTGTAGTAGAAGTGGCAGAGACGAGAGGAGTGTGTTTTTGCATTCCTGTACTGTGTAAACAAACTTTCACTGTACTGAAAGATCAGGCAGGATTTCTGAAATCTAAGTATCTGTGCAGTTTGGTATGTGGTACTTATTATGGAATAGTGTTAAGATGTATATTTCAGAATATTATATATTATATGAATTTCCCAGCTAATCCCTGGCAATGTTTTGATCCCAGCCTCCTACATGTCTGATTTAAGCTATCTTATGTAGAGCAACCCAGGTGTAAAGTAACCGACACAGTATTATTTCTATATCTCATGTCATTATTAGAGTTCCCCGTTATAAAGTAGGTGACATATCTGAAGAGATCCAGATGCTACTTTTCAGTTTTTGAAAATTTCAGATTGACTAATTTGTAAAGTATTGTTATACTATTTTTCATGTTGACCAAGTCCTGGATTCTGCCAGACAATCCTAGTTCCTAATTTAAAAGCCATTTAGTTTTGTCAAGTTCAGGAAAGTAAAATATAAAAGAACACTATTTTTATAAACTTAAATCTCTTAAGGCTATTAAATAAAAACAGTTATAATTCCAAGCTACCAATGGTTTTAGCAGTGAGAAGAGCGAGTTCTCCTATCAAGGTACGTCTCATTACGTATATTATAAAGGTTAGGTTGTGTTCATTTGGGTACAATGACTGGTACATTAGAGGCAGATTTAACATTCTCATACCAACTGTGACTAGCTCTTGTACTTGTATACAGTAAGAATGGGGAGAAAATAAACCTGTACCCTTACCATGGTGGAGGCATAAAGAATGATTATTGTCAGGTACCTATGAAGTTGAACACCCTTCACACTTACACTTGGCAAGCATGGACTTGATGGGCAAATTCATAACAGACCATGCCAGAGACCCATTGAGAGGATTATCAGTGCCTGAAAGTAGCTAACCAAACAGAAATTTCAAGCACTGGGGCTACTTACCAGAAAAACAGTTACCCAATGCAGCCAAAACAACCAGGCTACAATTGGCATCTGTAGCGAACCATATAAACAAGCACGCAAACCCCCATAGCACTCTAGCACAACCAAACGAATGTCCCAGCCGAGGTCCCAAACAAAGGAGTCAAAGACTCATGAATAGCCCAAGGCAAGGCTCTCCACACCAGTTTCCTGGCCTCTCAGGAACAATATCCCAAACTCCACAAGAGAAGATAACTGTCAGTGCAAAGGCAGTGCTAATGGACATCCAAGGAAGACAGCCCCAAGCACATGCTGCCTGAAGCACAATAAAAGCCAAGATCACACGAGCCAGAGAGGAAACACTCACTTGAAGCTAATACCAAAATCAAAAAACAATACACAAACAAATGGCCCCAACATGACAGAGTCCAATTATGACTGGCACTGAGCTTGAAGCAGAGGGGCTTGCCTATAACCAGTAGCACCTCCACCATAACATCAGCAACAGTTCTGAACAAGAGAGGTCATGTGGGTGTGGGCTGGGCTGCCTGGTGGTGGCGATCGGTACTAACAACTTTCGAGCTAATTTGACTGAATCCCTTGTTCCGTGCGATTCATTT